CCGATCTCCCCAAAACCCCAAAACCCCTAATTCTGTATATTGTTGATTGAAGGGGAAAAATCATTTAGCCTTTTTATTTATTTGATTCAATTTATCAATTTAAATTCCCTCTCTATCATATTTCTGATTGTTTAACTAAGATCATTTTTTCAACTATAGGTAGTTAATCTGAATACTTCTAGCTGTTAGCTCATCAAATCCCTAATAATTGGTAAGAATCTGGTGGTTTATCTCATTATCTAAGTATCGCAAAACATAAAATCCATAGGCACTCTCATTAAACCAAATCAATTCATCAGTTTCAAGTCCAGGCAAATCAAAGACCATTTCTTTTTTATCCATCACAAATTGTCCTTTGTTTTGTTTAGAGGTAACATAGTTTATCGGAATATCCCACAACAATCCTTCTTCTTAGTTCTTAAAGCATTGCTATTCTAGCTTATACTAGGTTTCTGATATTTTAGTGATTAAAATTTCAGGAAAGCATTATTGAGATATCCATTTTTAAAACACTTTAAGAACTGGTTTACCAGAGATCTGAGTCATAACTTTGAAAAGATCATTAGTGTTTGCATTTTAATATTGGAACTTCTTCATATATACCCTCATGCATTTTCTAAATACATCCTTATCGTTAATAAACCCTTCAATCATTCTGCATATTGAAGAACCTTTATTGTAAGAAATTTGATCAAAGATATCATGGAGCTTTTCAAAACCTTCTACTTTGACTTAAACAGCATGTGTAAAGTTATAAAAAGAGTCTGTCTGCATTGAAGTTTTATACATTGTATCTATAAATTCTTTCCACACTGAGTACTCTGGTCTGAGTTCAGCCATTACATAATGCTCCATGTATCTTGCAAATCCTTCATTAAGCCAAATATCATCCCACCATTCCATAGTTACGATGTTTCCGAACCACTAGTGACAGACTTCATGACAAAGTGTTCTCAAGTTGTTATATAGTTATGTTTTACTAGTATTCTCACGATTTGATAAAATAAGACTTCTGTGAAACAGTAAGCATCCCCAATTTTCCATAGCACAAAGTGGGAATCTATTAGATGATATTAAATCTACTTTCGATATTGGATAGTTTATCTAAAAGTAATCTTCAAGAAAGTCAAAAGCCTCCGTAGCAATTTAAACCATTTCCTTTGCATCATTACTAAGACCAGATTAAGTGTAGGCAGTTACAGGTATACCTCTCTTTGTAGTCAAAGTAAGAGTGTCGAATTTACCGATAAAAATACCTAAAAGGTAAGTTGACATTAAAGGTGTCTCTTCGAAGCTAAATTCTCTGCTACCATCATCCTATTCTTCTACTACACAAGCAGTATTTGATATAGCCTAATGCATGGGCTCTCTTACAATTATCTAGAGTTAAAACAAAGCCTTGTAAGAGGGTTCATCAAAGCATGGCATTAGTTTTCTGGCAGAAGTATCTTCAAATTGAGTATTAATCTACATATTTTCTATTCTTGCTCTCTCTAATTCATCTTAAAAAAATTGATTGACCAGATTGCTGCTGGATTAATACACCTCTGAATCAACACAAGAAAAAACTCCATGACAAGCATCTTGGTAGATTACTCCTTTATATGATATCTCCAGTAAGTATTTAGTATCTGATTCGAATTAATTACCTCTATCAGTATACCCAAATGAATAGACATCTTTTCTAAACTCTTCGTTATATATACAAAATCCTTATTCTGGATCAGAAAACTAATTATCTTCCAGCAATTTTCTAATCTAAATGCTCTTAATATCTATCTTTTTATTTTTGTGAAGTTCTATAGTTTCTAATGGCATAGATGATGTAACTTTCAATGTGAGTTTGAGCTCTCCCAAAAAGGATGTGTAGTCTTTGTTTGGTTCAAATCTTAATTGATATTTTATTGGCCTTACATTATTTGTCAATCTTAGTCTTTTTGTGTTGGTATCTGAATTTTCCATTAATATTTTTTTATCAGTCAAGAAGTCAATTTATTATTAATTAACTATTTGATTAAATTCAATCTAATCAACAATAGCGGGGTTTTGGGGTTTTGGGGTTTTGGGG